CCAAACATTACCAACTACCGTGAAATCGGCATGGAGTGGGGTATTGCCCAAGCCGAACAATACCTTGCTTCCCTCAAACTCCCCAAAAACAACCGACCTTCAGGCACAGGCCTATACGAGGCGCAGTCTCTTCAATCGACCTACGAGTTAGACAAGACAATGCTCTGCATTGTCTTGAAAGTCAGCCGCCGAGTAATCGACAAAGCTCTGTGAGTAAAATAAAGACAATCATTGTTTCTTCACAAGACACTTAGTCTCATCTTTACACCTTACACCTCACCAGCTTAGAAGGCCCCCTAGCACGTGAACCCAACATGTATACCAACTATCAAACTTACAGTAACGTGGCGACCTCGACCCCAAGTGAGTGAACATATCCGTTACCACACATGCCCCAATATATTCATTCAACCTTAATCACCCGCCACCCCAGTGTCACCCAAGGGAGTTTCCGAGGGATTTCGTGAGCGCAACAGCATTGTAGGTTCAACGTGGTCCACATACATCGATGAAGAACAAGAAATCTTTATGCCTCGACTCTTTGAGCGTCTGTGCGTAGCCACAAGCGAGGCATATGCAATGACTCAAACCCCGCTAGGCATTCCATCATCAAATGCTGTTCAAGAAACAGCTGGACCCTCGAAAAATGGCCTTGAACCACTCACCCAGGACAAAATTACAAAATATGTACCGGTGTTTGAGCGATTGGTCAATTTGCAGAAAGTCTCACAGGATCTCCACCAGGGAAGACTTTGGAGACACAGCGGAAAATCCAACAACCGCTCGTCCGAGCAGCTAATGAAGCAAGAAATTGGAAAGGTTGTCCGTCAGGTAAGTGAAACCCGAATGTAATACCTCCAAATATCCAATACTTACACAGCTTCCTTGATCCATACAGCTTTCTCTATTGACGAACCATTTCAACTTACAATTTCACCTAATGATCGCGTGTTGGAATCCGGCCACCTCTACAGCCCAAGCCCTCTTTCAGGATGAGCATACATCATGTGAAAGATGGGCTAGGGGACAGAAAAAAAATCACCTTCTGGAGCGTTTCACCTTCAAATCCACAAAGGCGCCGCAGCATCTCCGTTTGAAGCCTCACGAATCCAAGGCTCAATCGGCATCTGCCGTTTGACAGGCGGAAAAGCGATCAGAACTAGCACGAAACCTCAACAATTTGATAGGTCCTCCCACTTTCAATGTTCCTTTGGCTGTTACACCGTGCTGACTGAATTGCTTTGGAGGAGTAGCTCCCTACCTTCGGGGCGGATATCTGAGCAAAGGAGACGCCCATCCCAAGTGCCCAGAGTTGCGCGAAGCTTTTGCAAAGAAGACTTTCCGAGGCGATGTGGCTCTCACTTCCCATCAAACCCCGGAGAGCCGGGTTACTGACATCATGCTCTCCAAGGGCCCCGGCTGCCTTACAAACGATGAAGTGGACGCCTGGCTTGATGATATCAATACCAATAATTACACTATTATTAGTGTGAAGAAGACCAAGAAACATGAAAAGGGTGCTGAGGAGGAATGCAATTCCTCGTCCTCAAAGTGTGACTCAAGTTTTGAATCAGTGGATGCTCAAATCCTCGAGGCGCTAACCGGAGTTCATTAGCAGCAGTATATCAGATTAATCTAGTGGTATTGAAACTTCATGGTAGGCAACTCATTGCTATGACTCAGCATTCAAGTGGAAAGTCTTGAACTCAGCCTAACCTATTCTTTTCAACCTGTTTTCAACCATTCCGCACAGCACTACTTTTCGAACTCATATATTCATTAATTTATGCTGAAGTCATATTTATCACTTCAATTTCCAACTAATCGGGCTTGATTGAAATGGTTTCTGACTGCCTACTATACTTATTATATAGTTTTCTTGATGGGTTTGACATATAAAGTTTAGTATCATTTCGATTATTAAATCGCGATAATCAGAATGATTGACAAGGTGATGATTCACTACAAGGTATTCGAGTTTGAGTTCTCTTAAAGGAAGATTAATCTTCATTTTGTTTAAATTATTCAGTACAAGTTTTTACCAATAAACAAACACTGTGTATTCCATTCCCAAACCATATTCCATGCTGCGAAAGTTGGAGAGAGAATGTAATGGGATGTAATAGGATGTAGTATGATGAACTTGATGATAGACAATTTGTCTGAGATCTGGACATTTCAGAGAGTCCAGATCTTGCTTCTTGAAAAAATAACAAGGTAAGGATGATTTAGTTATATTGTCTCATTGATTCGGTAACTTACTAACTTAATACCTTGAAACAGTAGTGGTTTCACATATGGGACAGGACTCATGACAGGCACGTATGTACTTAACTGGGAGGTTTATCCACTTACGTACATGTTAACTATTATGTACATAGCCGTGATTTCGATTTTGGATTTTGTTCTTCAAAGCGACTTTGAAAGATACCTCCACATCTACATACCCACTTACTTCCTTGATCCAACTTCTACTCCTATATCACTCCTACTACCTCTTCTTGATTCAATTGCCTTTGTTTTTCACCGATACGTCAGGCCCTTTATCCCACCCAATTTCAAATTTCAATAGTAAAGTTTTTCTCTCATTTTATCTTTGTTCCACCATCACCACCTCAGGATGCGATCAGATACCTTCCAGCGATGGAGGTGGTTTGCGCAGGTTGGCATAGATAGCCTCTGCATAACTTGAAATACAACCAGCACTTCCACTTACCACCTCGTTGCTGGATTGGTCATCCTTCCCGGGGTCTTTTCTGTCTAAATCTAACTGATTTTTACGATGTACTCATAATGGTATATTTCAAAAAGGTACATTCATACCTTTGTACCCAACCTTTGGCAACAGGCGAGTTACAATATTTCCCGTTATTAATAACGACTAGCTAAATTGGGCGGCGGGCGCCGCACTCACAGAAAGGGATGATCTTACTTCAATTCGCATATTATGATTCAGGATATTCTGGAGCATATATCACTCAAAGAGGAAAGCTTCTTCAGGGTTAACTGGTTGCATTATAGAGCAGTCGGATCTATTTCTTAATTTTATTTAGATCAATTTATATATTATTAGTAACAAAATGTCAGCCTAAGTCTATTATTCTTCCAAACTAAGTAGCTGTTTTTGTCACACTGGAGCCATCACTGAGGTTTAGGTCACAGGATTTGAACAAGATACTCCAATTTCTATTCCATTGGGCCATTTCTTTGTTTGATAGCAGACTCGTGTCAACATGGAGTGTAGACACTGCATTATAGCTTGCTATTGCAGAGATCAGATAGAAAATCACCATACTTACCATTACTTTGGCACCAGGCAATTCAGATCTAAAGTGACACTATAGAGCACAATCCTTCCAAAACCCCACTCATTCCGGATTGTGCATAATCTGCCTTTTCTAAGTGGTGAGAACAAAATGTTTTTGGTTTTTTGACTTGCCCAGAGGGGAACCATGGAGCACTTTCAATACAGTATACCAATAGGTACTGCTACTTGCGTAACTTGTGATGCACACTTTGGTTTCATTGGAGTTTACTAATTTCAGTCATTAAATATGACAAAGAAAGGTGTACTACTATTATTGTGAATAAATTGATCTGGGAAGAGTGTTTACACTGTTCCTGCACGCACCAAGGAAAACTGAAGGGAGGGAAGTTGTAGGACATATGGAGGCCATGCTGCTTCTGCGTTCTGATTGTGATGGGATCAAGGTGAACCAAGGTGTTGAGCCATACCCTTGGAGTGGAGTGCAAATATTCTTGCCCTAAACCTAACCCCCTAACGGATTCCATATCAGAGTACATCAAGTTTGGTTTTGTTTCAGCTGTTGAAAAAAATCACACACAGCTCTAAAATCACAACACTACTTTGTTGATTGGTTGGAATGGGTGTGCATATATTACACACTCTATGTTGTTGAACCTGTTGAATAAACACTTTGTATATGATGTTGAACAAAGGAATTGGACAAAACTGAGACACTTAAAGATGTACATTCAGGTTGAGTGATCAGGTTTGCATTTATTTGTATTACCATTGATAAATACTTCAAGCTGAATCATGGATGATCAGTATTTGGTGGTTTAACTCAAGAATTACAACAAAGAGAGGATTTGAAGTAAATTGTAAAGATTTTGAATGTAAAAATATTGGAAGATTGGTAGTTGTTTCATTTAGGTCATTGGATCCATAAAGTAAAGATTTGAATGAACCAAGTTAGGTGGCAATATCACAAAGATCTCCTTCCCATAGAAGGTGAAGTGGGTATTGAGCCACATGATGATATTAGACTTTGGGCAATTCCTGATGTTATGGTAACTAATCAATTGATTTCATTACTTGGATTCATTTGATTTGAAAACAATGCAGGACTCAATTCAAGAACTTGAGCCAAGGATATTTTAAGCTGTGGATAGCAAAACTTCTCTACAAAGCCACTGACATCAAATCACTCTTGTTTGACACATTTGATTCATATCAGCTTTGGTTTTGTTGATCTAGTTCCAGCTTTTCAAGTGAGTGTTTGGGGTGACTTTGGTTTACTCCAGGATATGGTAATATAGAAGCAGCAGTAGTTTTAACAAAGATGTTTTCATTGCATTTTTGCTTCAGAAGTCTGGTAATGAGAATCAAATCCCAGTTTGTAAATCAAAGGGAAGATGTCTTGTTCAATGTAGATTGAGGTAAGATAGAATGAGTGATTATAGAGTTTGGGGAAAGGATGGCACTCATATTGAGATTGTTATCATAAGAATCTAAGGCACATGATAGTCTTGAAATAGATGGAGTGAAATGAATAGACAAAGTCAAGTAAATGAATGGAGTCAAGTAAATAGATGGATTCAAAGAAGTAGACTGAGTAGATAATGGATGTGAAGCTTATTTACATAGGAACAAATGGTTTGAATGACCATGTTGTTGTTGTTGGAATATACATCAAGTTTGTCAAAAATTGATGAGCTCACCAAGCTATATTACTTGTGTGATTGACTGGATCAGGTCAAAGCACTGACTGTTACTCTGAGTATTACGTGATTCGTTGAAATGCCAGATTTTCT